AGCCCAAAACACAGCTGGTCCCTGGGCTGCTCTGGACACTGCTTCAGTCCCACACACAGATGTACTACACCAGAAACTACACAAGCCCCAGACACAGGCACATCCCTTGGTTAACACTGGAACCCACAAAGCCTCCATGTAGGATGGCAATGAGGATGTGCAGCTAATTAACTTTCTAGGAGTCACAGATGAACAGGAAAAAGCACATTAAGAATGGGAACTTGTGACGGGCACGTCCCGGAGGGATTAGCAAATTGCATAAGAGGAACCTTTATTCCGATTATAAATTAACACCAGCGACAAGACCCAGCACATTTTTACTGCCTCGTGAAATAATTAACCCGTCACATCCAGCTCCATGCAAATCAGGAGGGAGAGAAGTATTAAAAGCTTTCCATCTTCACCGGGTGGAAGCACATACCGGGAGCAGCACCAGCATCCTCAAACAGCACCCACGGCACTGACGACTGCACTGCCTCATTACACCAGTACAGCCAGTACCTGCCAGGAATCACTGCCGAGTGCCCCACGACAAAAAAAGATGCTTCCCATGGTCTAATCCAGCTGTGGTTTAGCCCTGAGAATGAAATTGCAGTTTTAAATCTGCATCCACGCCTGTAGCGGGTGGGATGGTCCCTCCTCCCCCTCCTGCAGCATCACCCTCCACGCACCAGCCTCAGCCTTCCCCCAGTAAGTGACTTGCACGGATTTAGAAAGCACAACATACATCCCCGAGGCACATTGTGAACCAGACACCAGCATTATGAAACGAGAGGAACCCGCGGATGTCTGTTTATCATGTTCTCAAAGTCTTCCCAAGGGGACCTGTCAAAAATAGCCTCAAATGCACTGGACAAAGTGCCCAGTCCCAGAGTATATTCCAAAAACCCTCAAATTGTAAAAATAGGAAAGGGCAGGAGCACAATGCAGTCACGTTTTGAGAGGGTTAATGGGATCCTGCCTCCTACTATGAGCATCCACACACACGCACCCACCCCACTCCTCCATCCCACGTGAAGATGCTCAGCCCACTCCTGAAAACCATTACACAGCTACAAACAGCCCCAAAGTGTCTCAAAATGGGTATGAAACACAAGGCCCAGACCCCAGGCAGGGGTTTTGGCCACGTTGGTCCTTCCTGCAGCACGAAGGGCCCCATGGAGCACACACCAACCCAGGCAAAAGGCTTTTAAAGGGCACTTTAGTTGCTGTTTGTTTTAAATCTAAGGAATGGGCCACCCATCACATGCAGCTTTATTGATCTATCCAGTACTCAGGGGAAAAAAAACAACAGACCCTGTGTCTAAATGACAAGGAAAAAACCACATCCAATTGAGATGGTATTTCCAGGACAGAATTACAGCCCTGCCTCCCCATCCCTCCATCCCCAACCATCTTTTACACATCCCTGACCATCTTTTATATGAGAAGTATTGGCAGGCTCCTAGTTATAGCTGAGTAATGGCCCATCAGCTCTCTCCCTGGATTATATATTAACTCCTGGTGCTCCTGCAGCATCCATCCTCCTCTCCCTTCCCCTTGACCACCCATCAGCTCACCCCAGGTCACCCAAAGGAGACCCCAAGGCTGCCCCAGATCCCGCAGCATCCATCCAGGTCCTGGACCAAGCTTGGCTCTGGCTGCAGACCTGCACCCACCACACTGGGAGTGACAGAGCTGCTGTCTGTACATGGACAGATGTTTCTGAGCAAAATGGAGCCTGGAGGTAGAGGAGATGAAGCTGATTAAACCTCATTATCCTATTTAGTGTAATGATCAGAGCTGAGGGGACGTCATGCAGCTGGGAGTGGAAGGAATAACACGGTTAATAACTGCCTATGTTATGGCAGGTACAGCCAAGCTGATGTGCAGCCCACGAGGGGTTTATCTCCCACCACGACCAGCTTGCCTTCTCCTCTCCCTGGCCTATGCCACATCCCCAATCCACCAGCATCATGTCTGTGAATTCCTGCTTGCCCAGAGGAGAATTTAAGGGCATTGATGTGGAAAGGCAGGAGCGAGGGAGCTCCTGGAAGCCACAGCATCAACACAGGCAACGCACTGTGCCTAAACCCAGCGTCCCACCCCAGGCTCCACCAGAACACCCGTGGGAGCTCCAACAGCAGCACCGCTGGCTCGAAGACAAAAGCAACATGCATCCATGTGAAGATTCAGGAGCAAAAGCAGCCAGAGACTGCCTGAAATCTAGAGTCAAGGCTGGATGCCTCCTCTGGACTCCTGTGGGATCCCTCTGGGAAGAAGGAGGCCAGAACAAGAAACCCATCCTGGAAACCCAATAAAACATGAGACTGAGCAAACGCAGCCAAGTCAGCAGAGCTGCAAGACAGATTTGAAGGATGAGAATAATAATACTTAATCTCAGCATCCTTATGCATTCCAGTAGGCCCAAAATAGCTACTCAGTGAGCAGGGACCTACTGTGCTGAGCGGTAGTTTCAAGTAAACTCTCCCTCTGAGGCTTTGGGTCTTGGTGTGAGACCCCCAGCCCCAACCCTTTTTAGTAAAGGCAATAGCATCTCATTCACCCTCCCCATCACCTGCCCCTCTCCATACAGCAACAGCCTCAGACACCAGTCGAAAGTCAAGTTCTTGTTTAAAAACTAGCTGTAAGGTTAAATTAGAGCAAAGGAAGGAGAGAAACCTGCTGTGGCATCACCGGGGCCAGGCTGGGAAGAGGCAGATGGGCTGTTCTTTAGTGGTATGAGGTAATTCCAGAAACTCCAGCAACATCCTGCTGCAGAACCAGCTCTGCTGCCGCCTCCCCAGCACCGAACCAGGGGCTGCTGGTGAAGACACACTTTGGCTGAACACATACAAGGGGACTGGTGCCAAAATAAGGGTGAGCCTCTTATTTAGAGCTCCTGAGGTCTCTTCCTGCAATGGGCTCACCCTCCAAGCCCTCCCATTGAAGGTAGCTGTTCTCCACCACCAGCATCTCCTCCTCCATAACCTCAGCTAAAGGATAACATGTTAAAGGCTTCACACAGGGAAATGGTGAAAGATAAGATGTAATAGATTGGAATTTCATAAGGAATTTAATCACTACAGCTGTTTGGCGTCATTAAATCAGTTTCTCTTGGAGGTTTAACCCTCCTGCCAGCCCCGGATCTGCTGTTGAGCAAACACTCGGGTACCACTGGAGCTGCCCAGCTCCTGTCAGGGCTGCAGCAGGAGCAAAACCTTTCTCTCTCCCCAGGGAGCAGAGCTGGGGTGATAAGGACTCATTAAAAGCTTTTACTACCTGTTGTTATCCAGCAAACTGATTATGGAGGAGTGCCAGGCAGAGAGAGAGCTCTCTGTGCAAAGAGCAATAGGCTAAAAAGGGATCCCTCATCCTGCCCTGCAGGGACAGTGTGCCCCACGCTCTCACCAGCATCCCTTCCCTGCCTGACTTTAGGTGGAGGAAAAAAATACCCAAAACAACCACCTCTGAGATTTTAACTGACTTAGAAAGATGCGACACTTGTTGGAAGTGAAGTGCAATGGCTTAACCTTTGTCTGAGCAGCTCCTGAGATGTCTGGGCTCCAAGTGAAGGGAGATGCATCTTGAGCCAAATTTCCCTGCCAGCACAGCCCCAAGGATGGCTCCAGACTGACCAGACACTGATTCTTCATTTCAACACATTCAGCTTTGACCTCTACCCATGCTCCTTCCACAGCATCCCTCGTAATCCCTTCATCAAGTACAAGAGGTACCTCATCCTCTTCCTAAAGCATCCCAGAAGTGCCATCCCCTGCCCACTGCAGCACATCTGACCAGCCTCTGGGCAAAGAGTGCAGGAGCCCCGAGTTATCCAAGTGGCACTTTGCATTTGCACAAGCTCTCATAAGGTGGGTCCTGCCCATTGCTCAGCTGAGACACCCCAGCACAGGGACACCCCTTTTCCAGGCTGCTCTTGTCACCACTCCATCCTGTCCTGTGCAATGCAAGAATTCCCCTCCCTGCAACGCACTTCCCCCTTCACACACTCCCATTTCAAAACACAGCAGAGAAGAACACCAACCATCAGGAAGAAGTGGGTTTTGTGGCACAACTGTTTATCTACCCTGTTGGGAAACAGCAGCTTCAGGCAGCTGATCAAATACATCTTGAGCCCCATCCAGCTCCTTCTAACAAGGGCAATCACTGCGATGGCCAACACAGGCAGTAGACAGGCGATTGAGAGCAGAAGGAAAACACAGGGTTTGATGGCAAACAGCTTCCAAGTGCTCTGGCAGCCTGAGAGCAGCTCCTGGCCTCTCAGGAACTGCAAACGGTTCAGGACCTGTTCCAAGAGGCTCGAAAAGTAAGGGAGCAGGGAAAGCGGATGCCACGGGCTCCTCTGGATACCGGGTAAGTGGGAAGCCTCACATTCCTTACTCACAGCCACAAGTAATCTCCCCTTCCACTCAAATAAATACAATTTAAAAAGCTCTTTGGAAGTTGTTGAAAACACCCTGACTAAGCCACGCTTGTGTTTCCAGCTGCAAAAACCCAACAGCTCCTGATTTATTTATTTTTGTAATAACACTCTTC